TGACTGCAAATGACCCCTGCTGCATATGGCCTGATGATAATCCAAGTAAAACACTTGAAATCTTTCTACAAAACTAGTCTTTTTTTTTTTTTTGAGCTTTTTTAAATTAAAAAAAAAAATCCAGTTAGGTCTGTCCCTGATTAATTAGTATATTATTAGGTATGGAAGGCAATATGGATGGAGGTCAGTGTGAAAATGTGCGAAAATTTCCTGTCAATGGTGCAGATAGTACTTAAATGTACATGCAAGGCCATACTGGAGGCACCTCTTTCAAAGACTTGGTCCTGAGTACTGTCACTGGTCTCTCTGCTTAGAAGGCTACTTTAGTAAATGAAGCTAAGTTTATGAGCATCATGGCCTGTTAAAGTGTATTAATTTGAAGTGTGCATATTTTTATAGATTGCCTTTTGTATTTTTATTTTATGTTTTTATTGATTGCCTTTTGGTGATGTACATTCAAATACCAGCCACCACCATGATTATATTTTTATTATTCTATATTTTTTCTTCTGTTTTTGGTTCTATTTTATGGCCCTTCAATCTTTTAGTAATGGTGGCAAATGAAGTATGAAACAAAAAAAAATTGTAGTGTAAATTCACAATAATATTTTACTCACCAGAATTATTTTACTGCAGAATTTCCTTTTCAGGTTATACTGTGTATTTTTTTACCTGATGAATGAACATACTGGGACAACAGTGAATGTCATAAATCACTTAAGAATTCATTAAGTTTTTGTCAATTTTTCATTTTGTTAAAAATCTTAAGTTGTTTTTTGCATTTTCTTTAGAGCACAAGTTTTTTATCACCACTTAATCATTCTCATTTGTTAAAAAATGTCTTTTCTGTCAGTTTGCTGTTATATAAAATTCTGTGAAAAACATCTGCCAGCTTGAAACTTAAAGTTGCATTTTTTGCATACAATGAAATCAGCATTTGTATGAAAAGAAAAATTATTTTAATCTTTAATTTGACTTGTTTTGAATGAAATTATTTCATTTAATCAGATTTTAGAGAGATAGAGATGTCTAGTTTATTAAAAAGTGCATTTTTGCAACATGATTAAGTATTGTTAGTTGAAGATAATGTCAGATAGGTTATGAAAAGGATATTTGAGGATTAATTCAGTGTTTGAGAAATCATCGTTTATGTTTTCCTGAAAGTTGCACTTGTCACTGAATGAGCATCTCTAGTGTGGTCTCCTAAAAATGCATTGTAAAAATCTAAAGATAATTTTAAATGCATCACAAACTAATGAATGAAAACTGGAACACTTAAATACTTTAAGAAAAGATACAAAAGGGTCCTATGTGATCCAAGAAAACTTAAAATATAGAAGATGGTTGGTGGCAATACTGAAAAAAGAATAATTCATTTAGAATAAAATTTTACTGCAGTAATACTTCACTAATGCTTCATTTTTGTTTTGTGTAACTGAGCTGAATATGGATGTAGGATGGTGTTAGTGTGTTTCAGCTTAAGGTGAGTATTGGTGTTTCTCTTACTGAGGTTTAGCCTGCCATCTTTCCATGGCAAAGTGCCTGTTGATATTCCTGGGAGTTTGGGCAACTGCAGAACAAGGCATTAAATAGTACTTTTGAAATTATGTGCAGAAGTAATAAGAACATTAAAGTTGCAGAGTTAAGCACCAGAAGTTGCCTGTTCTAACCTTAATGTAGTCTTGTTGTACGTATACATTATGATAATTCTGTTCCTTGTTATACTGAAAATCTGTTTCAGATTTTCTTAAATGCAAGATTGTCATCTGTCTTTTTGCAGTTCTGTGCTCCATCTCTTGTCTCTCACATACATTGAAAAGTTAAGTACCTTGAAGAAATAACTTTCTGATCATGTGGTAAAAAGCTGTATCACAGGTGATAGGCACTGAGGGATAAAATAACACTGCATGAGAAACAGAGCTGTCAGCAAAATGCTTTAGTTGGTGGCTTGTTTCTGTCCCCACAATTACACTGTGGCCTGGATAGCAGCTACAGAACTACTTACAGCTTCCTGATAGAAGAAATGGTAACTGAAGTAACACAAAAATTACTCTGAGTAAAAATTGGGGAAAAAAGCTGCTGATAAGGTTCCCTGCAAAAAAAGTGAAGAAGATTCATTGATGCTGTAATTTCTCTGTAGATTAAATCCCAATTGCATTTTTGATGACCTAATGATGGACTAGACTTGACATGTTTCAGAATTCAGGACAGACTGTGTTTGTGAGATAATTATTGTTAACAGGAGAGAGAAGAGGGTTGTTTTCTGTTATATTAACATGTCTCAGATTCTGAGGGTTCATGTTTCAAACAATTACCTGAGTTTTTAAACAGAATTATCCCATAGTGTTTAGAGTATGATCTGCTTCCAGCCTTATGTATTTTCACCACATAAATGTGGTGTGGTGTGTGGCTCCCACCAAATGATTTTGAATGAACATTTTTTTGTTGTTTCAAAAAGAATAATTTAGTTGATGAGCCTAAATATACCTGGATTGGCTGTTTCTGAATTGCTGTTAACATGCTTTATTGGGTAGCATTTTTCTGCCATCCCTTTCTCATGAGATTGCTGTTTCTGCCGTGGTCATTACCAGAATTCTAGAATATAGGTCATGCTGCAAGCACCTCCAAACATTGGTATTTTAAGATGTTTATGTATGTCTGTATATACCTAAACACATGCACAAACACATGTGTGCATGAGTGTAAAGGAGCTGATACTGGATTTTGGAATTACTGATTAAAGTAGCACAAGTAGAATTGTTCTTCAAGACACATTTTTATTTTCTTGATACTTCTAATAGAAATTATAAGACACCTGTGAATATTTAAAGATCCTGTCATGAAGTGACACTTCCCTATCTGAGAATTTCCCCCTACACTTTCAGGACAACTAAAATCTATGGATGTGTTCTTGAGTTCAGCCCTGAAGGTTCAACATCTGGCTGATGGAAACGAAACATTTTCACCAGAGGTTCTTGCACTTGGAATTTGCTTCCTTCTGTGGGTCTGTGTCAAAACCTGACTGAGCCTGTTTAACTCGAGGCAATGGTGTAAAGCCCATCTGTTCCTTGAAACTTTTCCCTGAAGGAGTGATCTAGAGTGTATTTATATTCCCAGCTGTGGTTGTGCTTTTTTTAAGTACTTAGCTGATGCTTTTGGACTAATTTCTGGTTTGGGTTTGTTTAAAGGTGTGCTGAATGGATGCTCTTTTAAAGCAGATTTTAGGAATGTTGCAGAATTTCCCTATCTTTAACTTGTGAAGACAGTGAAGAGTTCGTCCCTGTTTACTATGAATGGAGAAATAACATTTATGAACTGCAACTGTTAAGAAGAATAGAGGATCCACTGAGACTTCTATTTAAAATACACAAAAGTCTGAAAAGTGGAAATGCAAAGCATTTGTAACTGAATATCTCAGAGTACTGATTTTAAAATATTCTGTCAGTGTAACAGGTTGTTATATTTTTTAGAAAGGAAGAGTATTAACAATTTTGTAGATAGTTTTACTATCTTTACATTTGGACTTGGAATTGCCAATATAATTTGGTAGGAGGTGCATGTGATACAGTAAGGTGACATTTAAATTCTAATCAAAAGTTCCTTCATGAACCTTTGTTGAGTCTTCTTCAGGGGAAAAAAAGTGTACAGTTAAGTAAATGGCAAAATTTAAAAAACCCCAACACTATTGAAATGGTGTTGTTTTTCTGGATGAAGAGATTGATTGTATTTGTTTGATATCACAACTGTAAGTAGTTTAGATTAACACTTTTATGGGAGGAGAAGAGACAACCTTCTTATGAAGGTGCTTCAAATGTTTGTATTGGGGTGCAGTTATGTTCATTTGTTCTTTTAGGATGTTTGAATTAATAATTTCAATAATTAAAACGGATATTGCATCTTTTCCACATGAGGAAGCTATCACAAATAAGCTATGGTATGAGTTTAAAGTATAATAGCTATTCAGCATGAACTTCTTATGTGAACAATTTTATTCTGTACTACAAATGACCTTTCACAGTTTAGTTGACTGCAAAACATGCAAGTTCCCTCCAGCCCCAATGACAAATAAATATTTATGTAGGGAATTAGTGCAGAACAGTTACTACATGATAAAGCTACACTGTCAGCTTATTCTGTACTCTATTGGCCTTCTTAAAAGCATCCTTAGAACAAAGTATAGTATTGTGTTACAGATATATTCCTACAGGTACTTGTATGTTGTATATGGACTTGAAGGAGAATATGTTTCTCAGAATTTCTATGAAAAATGTTTAAACTGCTGGCAATATGACTGGAATAACGTAAATCTAGTACGTATCACTGGACTTGAAGATGCTGGTCATGCAAACTCCACTATGGTTATTTACAAATAAGTTAATGGACTCATCAACTTTAGTTACTATGTTGATTTATAAGGACTAATGATATTAATAAAATAATAGGATTAACAGCAGCTGGTATGTTGAGGGTTCAGATAGGACTTCTTTTCAATAATGGTAAAATCACAAAATTGCCTTTATTCTCTTGTGTAATATTAGGTGACAAAGCTAAATGCCCCCTTTTCACTGGTTATGTAATAGGCATTAAAAAAATAAAAATAAATTAACTATCAAGGAGCTATTCTATGTCAAGCAGCTTCTGAAGATGGCCACTGTTCTGCTGCCTTTCTGGCTCTCTAGCACAGGGAATTCAAACTACAAATATGGAGCCTGCACATGAGAAAAATGAAAAATATTTGAATGCCTGTAACTCTTAAGCTGCATGAACACATTAACATTGATTGTATACTAGAGAATTTAAATATGAAACACATTTTTACTTTTCATAAGAATGTAATTTCAAATACTTTATTTGCTTGTTTTGCAGTTTTTTTTCAAGTAATTACTTTTGTTCAAAAACAGAAGTGTGCATTATTTTCAGGTGCTTTGATAACTTTTGTCTTAAAATGTATGTCTATGCATTTCTTAAATACACTTTCTTTTGTTCTATAATTTTCTAAGAAAATAGAAAAACTGGGATTAGATCTCAATGGGAACAAACAGCGTTTGGAACAAGCCCAGCAGGATGTGACAGAAGCCAGAGAGGAGTGCCTAAAACTGACAGAACTGCTGAGTAAATCTGAGCACCAACTGCACCTCACCAGGTACCCCTTATCCTATTACATGCTGTAGTACCAATTTCATTCTGCTAATTTTTTGCTACAGGCTTCCCCACAGTTGTTGTAGATACTTGCAGTCATTGCCTACACAGGCAGCCCTCAGTTGTGTTAGAAGTGGAGATTTAAATTAGTGACTTATTAACTACAAAGTGAGTTATGAACTAGAATTTATAAAAGTGAATTAGTAGTGTGTAGAAGAGGCAATGTTCAGCTCTGGTGGTGAGGGGGCATGGTTTTAGGCAGGAAGAAGAGCAAGGGAGGTTGCATCCACCCTTGTTTTCTGCTGTGTTTAGCAGGACAAATCTATTTGAAATGTTGTTTAAGACTGTAGCGTAGAGCAGCACCTTTAAGCATAGGAGTTCTCAGATGAATAACCTGAAATTTCTTCAGCAGAATGACCAGGAATATGTATATAAATATATAAATGCACATAATTTTTCTGTATGAGGTAAGCTCAAGTATGTGAGGAGGGTGTTTCAGTCTCTTGCTCAGTGAAGACACAGTACAATGCAATGTGTAATGAAAGACTTCCCCTGAGCCTATTCTATCCTTGGGTATATTTCCCAATGTCTTTTGCTGCACTATTCATTACATGTTTCTAGAAAACTCCAGAAGGCTGACATGCCAATTATTCATTGCAACTTGAGTTTGGGTAACTGCAGAACTTTTTTCCTTTTGCCTTGGAAAATGCTATTGTCCAACTGTTTGCAGGCTTTTGGTTGTGTGTGTGGGTTTTTTGTTCCATTGCCCTGCTCCCCCCAGGAATGAACATCCATAAACAAATCTGGCAGCTTTCACTCAGTACGTAAGGGAAAAAGTTAAGTTAGTTTAAATTTTTCATAGGGGGGAAAAAAAAAGCTTAGATTTTTATCACTTAACAGAAGTCTGTGTGTTTATCCAAGTCTTGTACTTTTTGGGCTTTGTGAGAATTCTGCCATTGAGTAAATGGAAATAAAATAGAGCCTTGTCTAAACTATTAAATTCAATGAATCATTTTTTTATTCAGCTAAATTTCTGTGTAATTCAGAGCACGGTTGTTTAACAGATGGAAGAAAGTACCACTCTAACAGCCTGTATTTAGAGAAAAAAATATGCTAGAGGTTAATGAACTTGAAAAAAGTTTTGGGTGAGTTGTTAAGATATCTAAAGTTTGGATTTAGCAGAACTTTATTAATAATGATTTGTTGTGATAGCTAACCAAATGGCTTTACCACGCTCCTTTTAGCAAAGGCTGATTATATGCAATAAAGCTCTGGATATCTTGGAGGAAATCTGACTAGCAAATCTATAATTTAAATTTTTTTTTTTGGTGAAAATACTCAAAATGTAAAAATGAGAACTATTGCCTGCTTTTACACAGCAAAGTAATTAAAGCTGGATACCTCACATAGAGATGATTTAGGTAGCTTTTTGATGTACAGTCTCTGACTCGGAAAGTTTCTGGGGTGCAAATCATTAGAGGCTGGGAACAGTGTTTTGGGCAAGTAATGCTCTGTGCTGGCCCTGTTCTCTTACAATTCCACAGATGCACGCTTTTTGAGACAGATGCTGAACTGCCATGGCTCCTTTGACCTAGTGCAGACACTCTTCTGCAAGGTCCTGATCTCCTTGGAGTTTTATTGGTTGGTTGGGTTTGGTTTTTTTTTTTTGTGGTTTTGGGGGATTTGGTTGGTTGGTTGGGTTTTATTTTTTTTGGGTTGAGTTGGGGTTTTTTTTTTTGTATTACTGTGTGTTCGTGTTTGGCATCTCCTTACAAGAATTGAAATGTTTTCTATGCTGATGTGTATTTATTGGAAAAATTAATATGATGAGGCATGGAAAATAGGTTCAATTTTTTTTTTTCTTGACATTCCCCAAATTCTGCAACACTGTGCACATTTTTTTTTCTCTGTACACTTGGAGTATCTGTCTGCTTTCAAAAAATGCATTAGGTGATGCTGCTTGAAGAAGAAGGGGGAAAAAGAGATGAGTAATTCAATGCTCCTGATCTGTTACCTGTTTACCCCTTGAACTTAAATCCATAGGGCAGGGTTTGAAGTGTTCTCATAGTGTCACCTGTTTTCCCTGCCTTGCAGAGGGAAACATCCCCTACTGAAATGACACTTGTCCTTAGCCTGTACTGTTTCTTCCTCTCAGCTCACCTTCTGGCAGAACAGGTTTTCTGTGCTAGTGAAGGTACAAAAGTTACATGTCTCTAGGGGCATTAGTTTTGCGTTTTGAACTCAGTATGTTTTTCATGGATTGGTACATCCACAGTTGTTGCATGTAAATTATATTCACTTACTGTTTGCCTTCTTTCATTTATTCCCTTCACCTCAAATGGCAACTGTGTCAGTGAAAATACTTGAAGGGTAGGGGTAATAGCAATCCTATGGGGGTTGGAGACTCATTCACTGTGGTGCTTGCCAAGGAAAACAGATTTTAAGCTCTAGAGTCCTGCCTGTGGGAGGTTGCTGCAGAAATTGCACTGATTTAGTGCATCTCTAGGGTATTCTGGCCTTGGCCTCGTCTTGCTGATTCTCTTCTTTTCAGGAGAGGACCAGCTGGTTCACTCCAAGTCTTCTCACAACGCTGGAGTTGAGGGAGGCCTGTACTGCTGTTACACCATTGTGGATAGTCTTTCTGTTGCCTTGCATGACCTGTCTGTGCTGTTCTGGCAGAACTAAGAGGTAGCTGAGAAGATACAGAAAGAATTCTTTGTTTTGTATGAATTATTGCATTACTAAGGAGAAAAGTGGATCACTAATCCACTGATTCTAAGTTTCAATATTGTAAATAAATATGATTATAAATTAATACAAAAACTTTGGATTTTAATGTATAAAAATGAGATAAATGTATATGAAAGGAATTAATGAGAAAAAAACATGCAGTCTGTGTCATAATGAGAAAAGAAAGTACTCTGCAGAACAGCACTCTTCTCCAGGAGTCCCACTTCTTTGCTGTATCCTAGTTTTCAGACACTGTTGATTGATTACCAACTAAACAGCTTCTAAGTTAACAAAATGTACTTGTTAAAAAGGAAGAAAAAAAGGTTACAATTAGCTATTCTAAACCATTGCCACGGAGTTTAAAATTGCCTTTTCCTGTCACCTTTCTTCCTGGAGCAATATGTTGCTTAGAAATACTTGCTATTAACATGCACTTTCTGCTATTGAATCTAGTTAGTAATTCTAATTTGTATGTCTTCAAAAGACAGGGGAAATGCAGAACTTCTACTGTGCAGTTTTGCTTGTCAGTCATGTAACTTTGCAAATGTCACTATGCTATGAGACTGACCATGATTGTTTAAAGTTTTCTTGAGGTTTTCTTTTGCCCTAGTGTCAGCTTTGAGGTTACTGTAGTAGGAGATTCTTACAAAATTAGTTCTTAAGTCAAATTGCTCTTACTTTGGCAAGGTTAGGTCTTGCTAATTAAGCTTACCTGAAGCCCTTCTTCAAAGGGTAGAAAACATAAAGGTCTATTGTTCTTAGTTAACGAGAAAATAGTCATGAAAAATCATGTCAATATGCTCATTGAAAAGATCATATAAAAGATGCAAGATGTTAACAACTTGTCCGGATCTTAGTGTGCCATCTAATGTAAAAAATATTTTTCACTATTCTTGTGTAACAGAATCGTCATTAAAAAACATTCCTCTTTTTCATTCAAACCAGATCTGGAGGTATTATTTGTTTCAGTTGCAGTCAGTAGTAGTTCCTGTTCACATACACCAAACAAGTTAAATAAATCCTAAGAAGTGAGGGAATCACCAAATTTCAAAACTGCAATTTTATTATATCATCATGTATTTTCTCAGGGATGAAGAGATATATATGTAGACAGACAGACAGATAGATAGATAGATGGCTCAAAATATTTTTGACTGAAATGTCATTTGAAATTTGATAGGAAATAGAATTGACTAGGATAGAAGCAGATTTAGTTTAGTTTAAAATGTATTATTCTTGTTTGCTTATAGGAAACACTAAGAACTTCTTAAGGTCAGCTTGTTGGTAGGGCAAAATTACTAAATGAACATGTGCTTTCACGTTCAGGTGAGCCACCAAGCTGCCCTAAATCCCCTCTTGAGGGACTGAAGTTTATATTACAGTGAGTCAGTGGGTATTGTTTTGCTTGATTATTGTTTTTCCCCCATTATGTGATATTTCTTCCCTGTTTTTGACAGTGATATGATTTCTAGAAAGCAGCATATCTAATATCAACTGGGTTTTAGCAGTGCCATAGTCATCCTACTGTGCATGGGTGCTTCTTGCTAGTGTCAGTGATTCCATTAAGACTAATTTCTATTACATGTACAATAAGTAAAGCATATACTCTCCCAGATTAATGTGGCATTATTTAATCTGAAGCTCTGGTGTTGAGCTGTATGTCATCACCAGTGTTTCTTGTTAGAACTAGGGAGTTGCACAATACTTAGTATTTATTGTGGGTTTTTTTTCTAGTAGTATCTCTTAGTTAGCAACATGCTTAATACCATGCCTTTTCCAACAATTCTAGCATCTCAAGAGTCCATCATTTATGCTGGGAAGAAGTTTTGGAGAAACGTTGTTACTAATATTAAATGACTGAGATATGCTCGATCTACTCAGACTGACTAACTGATGAAAGTAGCAACAGCACTAGAATTGGGGGTGTGGGGGGAGGAAGCAGAAATATGGTGTAACCAGTCATTGATTTCTAATTTTTTGAAAAAAAAATCAATATGCAAAAGCATTATTTTAAAAAGCAGGGATGAGTAATAACATGAAACAACTCTAACTAAACTTTTTAGATTCTGTTTTGTATGTTTATTTTTCATTAAATGTAGGGATGGTTACAACTATGTTGTTGTGATTCAGTCAACATTTATTTCTATCTGGTTTTCATATACAAAGGCATCAGGATGCCAGAAAATAAACTGTTAACGGAGAATTAACTTCTTTGGCACGCTTTCATACTTATCTTCCAAATTAAAGAAAATGAAATGGGCAGAAGCAGAGTGT